TTTTCTGCATTGGGAAGAATCCCGCCCCCCCAGGTCCGACCGCCAAATGCTTCGATCACTTCTGGACTTGCCGGATGAAGCAGCTGGTCCGACCTTTGGTTTCAGCATCAATGGCCCTTCCGAATCCGTCCTGCGGCGCTGCCTAGACCTGTTCGCCACCGCTCTGGCCTTGTTGGACTTGGTGCATTTGGCCACGATCAAGCGGTTCAACGATAAATTCTTTACCATGGCCACTACTCCGCCGTCGGACACTACCCTCCGCGCTCCTGTCTTGCAAGAGGTGGTCCACGCTGACCGTGCCATCTGGACGACGGTGTCCGCTTTGGTTCGGGACCAGTCTTGGTCTCTCACCGACAGCCTTAATGAAGTTGGGTTCTGCCGCCGCGACATGGCCCCGTTGCTGCAACCCCGCCCGAGGCCGGCCCGAGCACCACAGCAGCCATTCGGCCCCGCCTCCCCCGGCAAGCCTAATCCGCGCGTCAATCCGGATGGCCAGCATCCGGCGGCCCCCTCCGCCGCTGATGCAGCCAATCCTAAAGCGGCGCGTAAGGTCAAGGCTAAAGCCAAAGTTAAAGCTGCTCCCTCCAAACCCGGCCCCATCCCAGGTTTCGACCCGTCCTGGGCGCGCGTCGTCGACGGCGCTGACGTGTGCATGAAGCACGCCCTTGGCAAGTGCTCCAACCCCAGTTGCAAGTATGCCCATGTGTGCCCCGTCATGCTTCCGTCCGGTAAGCCGTGTGGTCAGCCTCACAGTGCCCTCGAGCATGCTGCCGCTCCGCATTGACTACCTCCGGCGCCGCCGTCGGTGGCCATGTCGCCTGCATTCGCCACCGCCGGCGTGACGCCACCATCATCAAATGCGGTGCTCGGAGTTCCGTCTTTGGCTGCTCCGCCCGGGGCTCCGTCCGAGCCACTCAAACCATGTTTACGTGTTCCCCGGGCCCGTCTCTTCTTGGACTTGATCGCTGGGGCGGCCTCCCCGGTCACCCAATCGATGGTGGCACTCGGTCGCATGTGCTTTCAACCAGTGGACTTACTCTCGGGCGAACGCATAGACATTTTGCATGATGCCACCTTCGCGTCCTTGCGCCGCCTGTGTGCGTCTGGTCTGGCGGGTGCAGCGGCAGCAGCCCCGCCCTGCTCGGCTTTTTCCCGAGCGCGCCTTCGTCCCGGCGGCCCTCCCCCCATCCGCACGGTATCTCATCCGCGCGGCAAGGACGTGCTTTCCCCGGCTCAAACATCCGAATTGGCCACTTCTTCTCTTCTTCACGTCCGATGCAGAGAGTTGCTGGCCCTCGTCGCCGCCCGCGGGGGCTTGGTTTGGCTGGAAAACCCTACATCCAGTCTCCTCTGGCTGGACCCTCAGGTCATGGCTTGGTGCCGCACGCACACTCCGTTTGCTGCCACGGCGGCTGCCTGTGTTCATTCCGTCCCAGCTCATAAAGCCTGGACTTTTATGTGCAATCATGACTCCATTGCATCCGTGGCCTCTGTTTGCCCCCATCCCCTCGGCTTTCATCCCGCGTTGTCCGGCCGGCGTGGCCCTGACCAAGCCTTTCTCACGCGTCAGACTGCACACTACCCGGCCTCACTGGCTTCTCTTCTTGCGTCTGTGGCCGCTCCCTTTGTGGACAAAGGCGCTGCAAACCGCTCTGTCCGCAACTGGACTTGCTTCCTCCCTTCTCTTCCCTGCTGGTCCTGCCCCACCGGCCGAGTGGAAGATGGCGCCGGCATCTGCAGCTCCGCCACACAATTCCCCCCGACTCAGTCCGACGCACTTGGCGCTCTGCGTAAGGCATGGACCAAGCGGCTCCTGGACTCTGGTCTTCATCAACACATTGCCTCCCGCCTGTTGTCCGGGTCCAAAACTGACCCCTTGTCCGAGGCTGAGCTTGCTCCTTTTCTTGCCGATCTTCGTGCTTTCCTCCACGTGGATTCCGACCCCACTTGGACTTCCCTGCTGCATGTTCTTGACGGTCAACCATTCCGTCTCAACTTGTGGCATTGCCTATCTCTGCTTGGCTCCGACCCAGACGCCGATTTCTTCCATGTCCTCCGCGAAGGTGTCCCTCTGGGTATTGGCGGCCTGCCCTGTCATGCACCCGCCAGCTCCGCCCGATGCTCTTCGCCTGCCCTTGGAACATTGTGAATCCGCGTGGAAATCTGCCTTGGACCACGCGGACACCGTTGATTCTCTGCTGCAAGCTGAGCTGGAGGCCGGCTGGATCCGTGAAATCCCCGGCGGTGACGCAGAACTCCGCCGGGATTACAAGCACACTGCTGTTGGCAAGCTGGGCTTGGTCTTGGCGCCCGGCCGCCCGCCTCGCCTTGTTGTGGACTCCGGACTCCTCCGTCTCGGGTGTCACTTCCAATACTCATCTCCCTAACCGTTCTGCCAACCCGTCCCTCATGGACGCCCGTCGCTCCGTCCCGGTCTCTGACTCTCTGGACCAACTGGTTGCACTGGTGCTTGACGTGGCCAAGGCCCACCGTCGGATGCTTATTCGCCCGTCCGACCGGGGTCTCCTTTGTTTCCGCCACGCTGGCCGCCTGTATCAAAGTGTCACTCTGAATTTCGGGGCTCGCGTCTCCAGCTTCTTCTGGGCGCGTTGCTGAGAAAAGAGTGAAGCGCGTGTGCGAGGGCTTTCCGACCGAGCACTCCCCTCAACCCTAGGGTAACGGACTAGTCCGCCCGAACTCACGGAGATCCAGAAGGCGGCATTGCCAGCTCCCACTCGCAACATGATGCCGCTGAGTATCTGCTATTTGCACGCAGGTACATCATTCCCTACCTCGTCTCCGGAGGTTGGCAGTGTCGACTGATGGACTCTGACGTTGTTACTGGTGCCCCTCTTTGCGAGGTGCGTGACCGAGGGGAGACGTGGCTTTTGCAACTTGCTATGTCGCCTGCTCAACTTTTGGCGGCCCCTGCTGATAGCTTCACCCTTCAAGCCATGCTCCACAGTTGGTACACTCAGGCGGTTGATGGGGTCACCGCGCTCAGCTCGGCTCCGGCTCTTTCAGCCATGCAAGTTAATCGCTTCGGCTACGAAAGCGCTCGCCCCAGTAGGGACATCACTCCTATCCGGCCTGATAACCGTATCTCCATTCAGTGCTTTCTCACTGAGGCGGCAAGTCTCCCTGCTGGTATCTCCACACAGTCTCAGCAGTACAGCCGTAGGGCCATCATCATCCATGCAAGGGCGAGCCCTGAGTCCGGCCACTACAGGGCCTTGCTTTATTCGCAGACTGCCCGGTGCCTGCATCTCTTCTGTGACGATGGAAAAAGCCCGCAGCGGTGTGCCGTGATTCCAGATCGGGTGTACACGCATGGATATATCTACCTCTATCAACGTTGTGTCCAGACATCCACGAGTGCAGACTCTGCAGCATAGTGGGGCATCCGTGCCAGGCAACGATATCCATCTCTTCACGTGGTTGAGCTGCACTCGCAGCACGCTTTCCGGATCCATGCTAAGCATGGAGCTCACAATGAGCCGAGCCTGCCACCCGTCAAACGGCACGCCAAGCGAGACCTTCTTGCAGCGCGGGAAAGATGTACGTATGTATATATGTATGTATGTATGTATGTATGTATGTATGTATGTCTGTATGTATGTATGTATGTATGTATGTATGTATGTATGTATGTACGTATGTATAAGCATCTCGGCTGCAAAGAAACCGGTACCCCCTAGCGGTGGCCGTGTGGTGACGTGGTGACGTTCGAAGGCAGCCGTGATCTAGAAAGAACGAGCAATTTCCGGCTCTGCCCAAGAACTACATGCAGTTGTGGACCTTTGCAGCACTCTGGACGGGCACACTACAATGCATCCTGGCTGCAGAGGACGCAATAAGACACCCGCAAGCCCAGCCAGAGAATACGCGCGTGAGCTATGCCAAAGACAGCAGCTGCGGCTGCACTTCAGGACCATCGTGGGGCACTGCATGTGTCAGGAAGCAAGGGGCTGGCTGTTCAACCCTGATTTTTTCAATGCCTGGGACATCCGGTGGATTGATGGCCACCCATGTGCCCTGCTCACCGCCGCTAGGCTTTCAGCATATCCCCCGGACGAGCTGGCCCTGCAACGATGGTGTCTACTTTACTACCCGAGCCTGCACAGCACACTCTGGCCGTCCTACCTCGACCCCCTCAATCAGGGCCACATTGATCTACAGAGCCTGGACTGATGCAGGCAGGACAACGAGACCCCGGCTTGCTCCCCTACCCAACAGCTGCCCAGGGAAACGACTTCGTCTTTGGCGTCTACGACACCGAGGTTGTGGCTCCAGGAGTCGGCCCCGACGCGGCAGGCCGATTCTCAGCATCAACAACTTATCGGCACTTGCCTGCAGGATACAGCTCGTCTTCCAGATGCTATCGCAGTGCCCCCTCCATGTTGTCTTGTATGCTATAGGGTCACCTTGTGGTTGGGAGCCGGACTTCATAAATAGCCTCTTTGCCTGGGCTCATAGCAGCAGGGCCGTCCGATCTCTCCGGGTCGGTGTGCACGACCTTAACATGGCTGGACGTGATGACACCAGCTCCGAGCTGGAGCCTTCTGGCGATGCCTGGCCACCCGACTCCGAGGACTTCGAGGAGACTCTGGTCGAAGGGCCTGATGAAGGGCGAGGTCAAAGGACGGGCCCCTGGGGCCCACCTGTACCCAGCCCCGTCCAAGCGTTGCGGGTCCCAAGCCAACAGCTCTCAGGTCGCATCGCGGGGTTCTGGGAGTCAGAGGGACTCCCCGATCAGGGTGCTCACGCAGCTCCCCTGAGGGTGGAGGGAGTTGGACAACATCTGTGTCACGGTAAGCCACCTCTCCCATGCCGAGGGCCTCCACCCGAACACGCTTGAGATTTCGGCGGCAGACCATGGTGCGGGCCCAGCTCCGGATGACCCACGAGCATCGGACGACAGCGCTGACAACGATGCAGAGGAGGAACCTTCCACTGCGAACGCGGTGGCGGCGGAGATCACGGAGACCATGACCCGTGAAGGCCGGACGGTCATGACACCGGCGGAACTGCGCAGGCTCGAGGTTGAGCATGAGTTTCAGGACATACTCCGCAACATCGAGGGAGACCGGCGCATCATAGGGTGGTCCAGCGAGATCCCAGATCCACCTCCGTCCCGGCCAAGCAGAAGCAGCGGCCCTTCCCGACCTTCGTCCACGGCACCGTCTTCGGGCTCTACACCAGCAGCCAAGCCAAAGGCGAGCCGCAAGTCGGGGACCTCAGTTGCTTGCATGCGTCGTGACCTCTGGCACCGTCCTTGCCAGTCTGCCTGCCAGCCACCTTGTTGCAAAGGCGACCTCGGGACAGCTGAATGTGAGAGGGCTAGGCACAGGCTCCTGTCCATGCTGGCATGTTGCTGGCCAGGGCTCCTCACAGTTTTGGATGGACCTTCAGAGGGTGTCTGTTCTACTAGATCCAACGTATACGTTGACCTGACTACCTGGCACAGCCGACTCTCCAAAACTCAGGGCTGTTCAGATGCCCCTCTGCAAGGGACTTACTCATGGTTCCAAGGGCCACGCCCGTGGGCATTGGATCTCGCGCATCTTTGGCCTCGAGGGAAAACATCGGCTGGTGACAGTTGCCTTTGTTTAGCGATGCGGCGGTTTGCCTTGCCACCTACCCCAGCATTCCTTACCATACAGTCGATGCCTATGACATCGCCGGCCAGGTACACTACCAGCAGTTCCTCCCCTTTGCGGCCGGCGGCCCGTCTGTGTACGAGCAGCTTTCACCCTACGTGGCCGGTGACTCACGCCTGTATAACCTTTGTCCTGTTCTACCTTGCTGCCCTTGTCAGGTACCTCGTCAAGACGCTCCAGCCCGAGCCTGCACAGAGCATGGGCCCCATCCTGCTGAACGCTGCAGCGCAACAATGCAGCATGATGCCCATCCTGGTCACACACGTAAGGCACCGCGGCCCTCCAACCACATCTTCTACCAACAGCCGTCCGGGTCCCAAGTCCCGGAACCATTGCGCCGTCACCAAGCAACATGTCAGACTACAACTGATACTCCTGCTTGGCCTTATTATGGAAACACAATCAGCAATGGTAGATGCGAGGGTTAGATCTCCTATGCACCACGGAGGTCTTGAAGCCCACCAGCAGTTTTCAGCGGCCCACAATTGGGCGAAGCCAGCAGGTGACTGGCGTCATACAACCCGGACCAGCAAAGGCACCCAACCTCCTCGGAAACGTGCCTTCATGCGAGCAGTGAACAGAGCACAGCACAATGAACATCAGACCACTACATACAGAGGACGAGTCCTGCATCTTCGACAGCTTCAACAGCTTCCTCGGCAGGCACATCGGCCTATCCCACATGCCCACCATGATGAGCGAGCCCCACGACTTAGAGTAGTGTCGTGGAATTGTGGAGGACTCAGCATGCAGGTCTACCGAGAGGTGATGACCTGGCTCCAAGACGAGGCGGATCGGGGACGGCCCGTTGATCTCTGTGTGCTGCAAGAGACAGCCTGGCGTGATGACCAGGAGTTCAGCACATGTCACCAGGCGCCCCACTCGACCAACTGGCACATCGTTCATTCAGCTGGGCCTGATAAGTCGGGGCTGTTATGCATGGTGCGAGCAGGTCTGCTGCCGTCCGAGAATATACGCACAGCAAGTCTTCAGCCAGGACGACTTCTTCACCTACGCCTCCTCCTCAAGGCACCGGTAGATTTTCTCCTGGTGTACCAGCATGCGTGGAATCCGCAGCGTGCAGATCTCAGGGGTGCTAACAAAACAGAAGCTCTTCTCAAGCAACGCCGGGCTATCTGGGCGAAGGTGGACGAATGGCTGCGGAGAATCCCCAGCAGGCACGGCTGCGCCGTCATTGGTGACCTCAATATCTCTCTTTGCCCAGCCGAACACACATGTGGGACAGGTCAACCTGTTGGTGCCACGGCCCCTCACCCAGATCAAGGCGAGGTAATGGACATACTGAGAGCCCACAGAGCATGCGCACTTAACACGTGGGGAAGGCCCGGTCCTTCCACAAGGACTTTTCTCCCACCAAATGCCGATCAAACCAAGCTGGGAACCCAGATAGACTATGTCATTGCGAAGGGTCACACTATTGATACAGTGGCCAAACAAGCCACAGCCTTCGATGCACCTTTCGTTCCGGCCAGTGGTTGCAGACATCGCCCCATCAAGGTCTCCCTGCCATCCCCCCACCGACCCTACAAAGGCCATGTGCAACCACGGCTCACGGCACAACAGGTCGGACCCGCGCTCAAGCAGCCTGGCTTCCTTGGGAGCCTTATGCGGCACACCCGACAGGCCCAGTCCGAACAGGCAGACACCCAGCCAATAGATGAGCTACTCTTGGCAGGATGGCACCGTGCGAGGGCCGAGTCGCCGGGTCAACCAACCACGGGCCCAACTAGGCAGCCCACCGAATCTGGAGCAACCCCTCACACAGCATGTCCAGAGCATGTGGACCGTCCGCCATCAACTCAGACAAATCGGACAGGCCATCAGCCGGTGGAGCAAGCGCGGACCCAATGCTCGCCACATCCTTCAGGCCTGGTGTCTTACCTCCAAGCTACAAAGGCACACCCGTGAACTCCGGAAGGTGGCAGAGGTGGTGCAAGCCTCAAATATCCACCAAGCAGCCAAGAGATTTACGCCCAAAGCTCCCAGGAGACGGCTCCAGCTGCGGGATGCACAAGGACATCTTCAGACCCATGAGGCGGAATTTTGCACAGATTGCGGAGTATTTCCAGTTACTCTACGATGGCATTCCCCTCCAGCATACCCCTACGCTCACCGAGGACCTCAACATTACGACGGAGGAGATCCTACACGCCATGGCACGCCTGCAGCCCAACAAAGCCGTTCCATCAGTCAGTGCCCCGGCTGCCCTGTGGAAACAGCTGAGTCAGGTCACGGTCCCTACCCTACGGGCCCAGTTTGCTCAAGTCTTCCGGAAGGGCACACAGACGGTGCCGGAAACCTGGAGTGTCAGCGAATTGATCCTGCTCCCGAAGCCGAACAAATCTCTTCGCACCCCGGCGCACCTCAGGCCCATATGCCTGCTACCCCTACAAGCCAAGCTCACTGCATCCATTTTGGCCAGCCGCCTACTCCCGTTTGTGAATGAATATCTGAAAGATCAGCCGCAGTTTGCCTATGTGCCACACCGCACGCTGGCACAAGCTCTTGAGCGGGTGACCAGCCATTGTCACACGGTGAGGAACCTACTCCAGCGGAACACCCTCAACATCCACAACCGCAGACAAGGTCATGCACAGCTCTCATTATGCGGCGGGTGCCAACTCTCACTTGACATCTCGTGTGCATATGACCACGTACCACGGCAGGCTCTGCAGATGGCTCTGAGAGAGGCCCTGGTCCCGGAAAACCTTGTCCAGGCTGTCCTGATGATACATGAGGAAGCGAAGCTGAAGGTTGCCCACTGTGGGCACGAAAAACTCATCCCCTTGAGGCGCGGCCTCCGGCAAGGATGCAGTCTTTCACCAATGCTCTGGTCCTTGTACACAGGATGGTTGTTCCGGAAGATGTACCACCCGGAAGTACTGCCCATCACCAAGCATGTGACAAGCTACGCTGATGATAAACACTTCGCTTGGGTCATTAGCAACGGTAGAGACCTGGAAAAGGCTTACGCGGCGATGAAGCACATCCTGGCCTCCCTTCAAGAGCTCGGACTCAGCATAAGCACTGAAAAGACAGTGATTCTTCTGGAGCTCAAGGGACCACAAGCCGCTAAAGCCGTGACTCGTTATACGGTCAAAACCAAGGAGGGGCGATGTATGCGCTTCAACATCGCAGCCAAGGAGGTGAATATCAAAATTGTAGCCAAACATGTCTACCTTGGCGCTGTGATAGGGTACAAGTCGTTTGAGCATGACACCTTCCTGCACAGATCACGCTTGGCCAAGAGTACATTTACCAGGCTTGGAACGGTGCTGAAGAATCGCTCGGTCCCAGCTCATCTCCGATTCCAACTCTGGAGAGGCTGCGTCTGGCCCACATGGTTGCATGGACTGGACAGCGTGGGCCTCAATGTCAGGGACCGCCAAACGTTGCATACTCAGCTAATTGTTCAAGCCCGCACTATTGCCAACTCGTTCAGCATGATCACCAGGGAGTCGAACCTCAAATTCCTGCAGCGACACCATCTACCAGACCCGGTACGGCGCCTACAGACCGCAATCACACTTCGGTCCTCTTATGACCCATGGCTTGGCCCGAAGCTCAGGCCAACAGAAGAGCTGCTGAGCTGGCGACGTGTAGTCTACCAACAACTGCTGGATCCAGAGGTTTGCCCGTGGAGCCAAGCCACCCCTGCCCGTAATCACCGTCTCCACTACTTGGGGGATTCTACACAACCCAGTTTCGACTGTGATGTTTGTGGACAATCGTTCAGCACCCAAGCTGCCCTGCGAAGCCACATGTTCCGCATGCATCTGGATCAGCAGTCGAAGACAGAACGGGTGGATGAGGTGAAGCAAGCTCGAAACATCCCCTCTATGGAACATGCCAAAGATGGACTACCGCAGTGTCGTCATTGCCTACACTCCTTCACCACCTGGCATGCCTTTTTCTACCATGTACAAGCACAGGGATGCACCGGCCTACGCCAGTTCCTCAAACAAGCTGCGGAGGATCACACTCTGCTACCAACTCTCAGCGAAGCCCTCATTGACAATCCGACCTTGCTTGAAGCCGCGAGGAACAGCACATGGCAGGACCTGGCCCGCCTGGACTGTGTCAAGAACAAACTTCAGTATTGTGTTGAGTGCAATCATCGGAGTGCCAAACAGCAATACGTCCGAAGACACATGTTAGCCATGCATCCTGAACGAACGGACCTCATTTATCAATGTATCGAGGACATCAAGAAGAGCAAAGTCAGCATCAGCAACCCGTGCAACTTCTGCGGACAATCATACCAGAGAAAGGATGCCCACTTGAGATCGTGTGTAGGCATCTTCGCAGGGGTGTACTTGCATAGAAGACTGGCCCGAGGCAAATCTTTAGGCTTGGCAGGTGCCTCCAAAGCTTGGCTAGGACTCCAGGCGGCCGAAGATGTACGATGTGTTCGGCTCTCGAATGGAGGTCACAATCCCTCTCGAGCTGAGGGAGGCGACACAGGACCTTCACATGCTCAGAACTCTCCTACCGCAGCCGGAGAGTCAGGAGATCGAGCTGCTGGCGGACCCAACGTCGGATGCAGACCGCCAGCCCAAGTGGCCGAGGTCCCACCCCAAAGGGTACGGCAGACACGGAGGCAAGGGCAACCGACAGGGGACACAGCCAACCTCCACAGGTTCATGGTCCAACGAGCAGGCACACCAGACGGCGCGGGACTCAGGCAAGCCACCACGGCGCCAGCGGGAGACTTCGGACAAGGACCTCGCCAAACAACTGGCGGAGATGAAGTCCTCCTTGGGGATGCTCGCCACGTTGGTGCTCAGGCAAGAGATTCAACAGAACGTGAGCAAACAAGACACATCTTTTGTGCTCTTCCTCGACACGAGGGGACCTCACAACATCGCCACCAGCCTGTACAAGATGGGGGAAACATGGGTCAACACGAAGCGAGAGCATCCGGAACGACTCAAAGCCCCCCTCAGGGTCATATTGTTTCAACATCTCATCGAAGTCGTGCTGCACAAATTCAAGGCGATGACCGATTCGCCGTCATCCCGCTCAACGGCTCAAAACCTCGGACTGCTCATGGGAGATGGGATCAACGTTCCGGCCCTGAAGTGGGACCCGGAGACCAGACAGCATGTGCAGGACACGATGGTGGAGCCCATCGCGACCACCACGATCAAGGAGGCCCTGGAGGAGCTGCTGGTGTTGTGCACCAAGACTTTGGTCATAGCCAGGTTCCATGGCATGCGGAAGCTCAGCGAGGAGTACGCCGCCCCCACCCTGGGCATGTTCCTGGAGATCGGAATGAGAACCCCGGAAGCACATGCAGCTTGGAACCACCTCCATCGCCTGCAGCAGTCAGCATCGTGGAAGGCGGCGGGAGTTTTTCTCAGGCACGAACGTCTGCACATGAGCGCCCTAGCCAAGAAGGTAGCCGCACTCTCCAAGTGACAGAACTTCAAGTCCTTGAGATGAAGCTTGGTAACAAGGGCAACTTCTGCTATGCGAACTCGGTTCTTAAGGCTTTGCTGTTTCTGTCCAGTAAGGAGAACCGTAGTCCAAACATTTTCGGGGAGAGCCATTCCGCTTTCCTTCAGGGGCTCATTAGGAAGGCGAATGCATCCGTAGTTCATCTTTGGATGCACCCGGTTTGGCTGGGACTGATGCGGGGATGGAACGCCCCCTCCAGGCAGCATGATGTTGCGGAGTTTCTTCAATTTCTGTGTGGCAAGACCCTGACTCACCATCCTTGCATCGAAATCTCTTGGCAGGCTAGGACCCAAGTGGGGAATGGGCCCAGCGCTGTCCTCGACAGGGGCAGTTCTGCTCCACTGCTACTGCCATCACCTGGTGATACTACTGAGGATTGTGGTCTTGAGGTTTCGGTTCAAAGCTTGGTTCACCGATGGCATCAGCAGGAGCAGATACATGCCATGTTTGCGCCGGCAGAGTCAATTGTTCTTCAGCTTTGCCGTTTTGATTTCGAGGCAGGCGAGACACGAGCTGTGAAGCGTCGCTACAAAGTTCAGCCTGACTCCAGGATTAGCGTCCCCGCTTTCAGCGATGACATGCAACGTCTTCACTACTCGTATCGCCTTAGTGCTTGTATTATTCATCTGGGCGATGCCCCGGATAACGGCCACTACCATAACGTCTTCTGTAGTGCTACGAACCTCAATTACTACATCGGTGATGATGGTGTTTCGGCCCGTCCTATTAGTGAAGGCCAGCTGTGTTTGTTGGGTCGTGATATCTATCTGCTGTTCTATACTGCTCATAAGGCCGACTAGTCTTGCTTTTGGGCATTCGTGCCGGGGACTAGATCCCGAGGTAGGTTGGAGGATGTGTGAAAGTGCACAGCAAAGCCGGGCTCCATGGCCTGTCCTCCCGTTCGTAGCAAAGTGCAGTCTTTGCATCGAGGAAAGTGAAAAAGTGAAAGTACGTATGTATGTATGTATAAGCATCTCGGCTGACGAGCGCGCCTGGAGGGCGCAAGGATGACACCGGCCGTGCTCTAGGGAAAACCATGAATTTCCGGCCAGTGGTGTCTCTGCTTGTTGGGCTGTACACGGAATGCATGCAAACGCCGCCGAATGGGGCGACAGATGGATGTGCAATAGCAATAAGATTCCGCTTGGAGGGGACGGCGAGCACGCAAGGGAGATCTTGGCGTGCAGGAGGCGATGCCACCTGGTCTTCAGCTATATGGGGCAAACCATGCTGCTCCGAGCTCAAGGATGGTTGGCAGACCCCACCTTCTTCAATGAGTTTGACCTTGCCTGGGGAACCACCCACACGCACCTATGTGTGGCCCTGCGTGCCGCTCGCTGCTCGAAGTACGCGCCGATGGAGCTGGAACTATGGACGTGGATCAGGCTGCATTTCCCCGCCCTCCTGCCGCACTTCTGGCCTAAAGGACGACCCAAGCAGTACGACTTCCAGTCTATGGATTGAAGCAGGTCGGGGGCGATTCCAGCTGCCAGGTTCTCCGGATAGTGTAGTCTGTCCAGGCAGGCGGCAGCGCCGATGGCGATTCAAGGTCACGAGAGGCACCGCCGACTGTCGGCGGAGACGTACAGCAAGCCGCACAGCCCTTGACCTGAGGTGCCCGCTCATCGACGCGTTTCAGTCCGTCTTTGCGGCCACAAACATTGACATGTTAAGTCGGCCCAGTGCCCCCTTAGTGTGCAGAGGGTCCTTCTGCCTTTGATGGTTGCCTGCCTGCGGAGCGTGCGCACAAGGACACACCCGCCTACTTGCACAGAGGCTCAAACCCATCCCGAGCCCCCGGAAAGCCACGACATGGCCGAGATCCCCGACTCCGCGGAATTCGACGATGGAGCAGATGACGGACGAGGCCAGCAGGTTGCACGGCGACCTCGCTGAGCCCGGTCTCCACCCCTGCGTACAAGATGCACAGAAGTTCAGTTGTGGCCTCTGCGCCGCCCTGACACTCATACTCATGCATCTGCCCGCTGGCCACTCAGGCGAACCCGTGAGGACTGAATCAAGGGACGGGCAGCCTAGACAATTGCCGGTAGCTTCTTCGAGCCTGCATTGCTCATCGGAAGCCCATTTCGGGTCTTCCTGGGGCAGGTTTTTGACAGAGACCTTCTCAAGGGCTCCAGTGACTCGGGCTGTTTCAGGCCCTCCGGCTGCTCCGATCTTATATGGCAGTTCAACTACGCAACGGCCACCGTACGTAGCTGGGAACACAGAGGCCAGAGCCGGGTCAAGACAGCCCCCTGTCAGAGAGCCTGCGGGACATGGAGAAAAACAGTCGGATGCGCACATTGAGCCACTACGCGTCCAACTTCTATGTCTTTGCGCGGTCTCTATGTCTTTGTCTTTGCCTTGGCCGGCCAGGTGCCGTACCCGCAGCTCCTTCCCTTTGTGGCCAGTGGCTTATACTCGTGCATTATTCCTTTGCATGCTGATCGTCGAGGCTGTCCATTTCAACCTTGCCACGCTGGTCAGGTACCTACTCGAGACTACAAGTTGCCCGCGAATGCCGGAATCTCTTCGGCGCTGCAAGTACCTCATCTTCTCATGCATCACCGTGGCACAGCACAATACTCTACCTGCAGAGCTGCCTGTCAGGCAGCAGCCCTCCCGGACCACGACAACATTTTGCAGCCGCCCGGGTCCCAAGTCCCGGGACAGCAACTCCGCAGCCAAGGCACCCGGGTGTGGTTTTCGCCTTGCTCTACTTCTACTAATCTTGAACCAGCCTGCAGTTGCTGTTGATGCGAGGGTTGAGTCCGCTGAGCACTACAGGGAATCCAAGCATTTATGTCGGGGCGAAGCCAAGTGCAGTTCGCTTCACGAACCCGCAGACACAACGAGGACCCCCTACTATACGGAAGAGGGCGCTCCAGCGAGCGGTGACAAGGGCGAGCCAGAGCACCACATCCACAACATGGTGCCGAGGCAAGCTCTTACATGTCGACCAACTACGTGGAATGGGCCCCAAGCCCCACGGGCCCTGCTGCAACCCAGCCATGCCCCAACCCGATCAGGCGCCTCGAGTTCGCTACCGAGAGCTCCTAACATGGCTGTCCAAAGAACAAGTCGAGGGGCGGGGGCACGACATCTGCATCATAGTGGAGACGGCCTGGAAAGAGGACTTGGAGTACACGGCCGCTGCCGAGGGTAATCCAGATGCCAAGTGGCATGCTGTCCACAGCTCAGGGCCCGAACATTCGGGCATACTTTGCTTGATCCGAGCAGGAGTGGCCAGCCCAGAGAGCCTCCGCTATCATGTCCTCAGTCCTGGCCGGCTCCTCCACCTTCGCGTCCTGTTCCAGGCGCCGTTCGACATACTTTGCACTTATCAGTGGGCCTGGAATCCTGGGAATGCCGCGTTCAGGGGAAACACCGCATCAACCAAAAAAACGAAGCAACACCGCGACCTCTGCAAGCTCATAGACAAATGGCTAGGAAGCAGACCTCAGCGTAGCTTTGTGGCCCTTGCAGGCGACTTCAATGCTGGCCTGGTCGCCGAGCAAACGGTTTGCGGCCAGGGCGTGGTTAAAGAAGCGGGTGCGGCACATCCAGACCAAAGTGTTTTCCAGGAACTTCTACGCACACATAGACGCTGCGCTCTTAACACCTGGACAGGTAGAGGCCGCAAAGCCCGCACCTACATACCTCCCAACGCCACAGCCCAGCATGGATCTCAGATAGACTTCGTCATTGTGAAGGATATCCATGCGGATCATATCGCCAGGAAAGCGGCGCCCTTCGTGTCGGAGCTCGTGCCCCGCACCGGATGCCGTCATCTACCAGTAGGGGCCTCCTTGCTGGCCCCGCGCAGGCCCAGAAGACAGGCAGTGACGGCTCGGCTCCCACCGAAACAGGTCAACAGTCCAACATACTCCACCACGAGGTGTCCATGGCCCTGTCTCACACAGCTTCAGAGGAAGCACCCGTTGCAGACCTGGACCACATGCTCTTGAAAGGCTGGAAGAGTGCAGTTACTCGAATGGACCCGCAAGGCGGTCAACGGCCTGCACCAAGACAGGATGCTCTCACCCCGCAGGTGCAGGCAATGTGGCAGACCAGGGACGTGCTACACCGCCCAAGCGTGTCTCTAGGGCGATGGAGGCGGGCAGGGGTGAACTTGAGGACAGTATTTCAAGTCTGGGCACACACCACTCGTCTGCAGACACAGACCCGGACTTTACGCCAGGCCTGCCGCTACAAGAAGATCCAGCGCGTGGCCGAAGTGGTGGTGGCGGACAATGTGTTTCAAGCAGCCAAGCAGTTCGCCCCTCGCAACCCGAGGCGCAGGCTACAGTTGCGCACTGCCGACGGCCAGCTGCAAACCCATGAGGCCGAGTTCCATCAGATAGTTCAACACTTCAAGGACCTCTACGACGGCCCAGAGTCCGCGCACCCCACCCTCTCGGAGGCCGTCGGCATTACGCTGTCGGAGCTGAATTCGGCCTTCGACCGACTCAAGCCAGGCAAGGCCCTCCCCGGAACCAGTGCACCGGCAGCCTTGTGGAAATGCTACAAGCTGCAGGTCCTACCGTTCTTGAGGCTCCAGTACGACCACCACCTCCAGCCCGGAGCCACCAGCTTACCCAGAGCATGGTGCCTAAGCGAGTTGGTACTATTACCCAACCCGGGGACCGGGGAAACCTATGAAATCCCCGACGCACCTCAGGCCGATCTCACTGCTGCCACTCCAAGCCAAACTCCTGGCGGCGGTTCTTGCCAGCAGACTCCAAGGCCCGGCCAATGTCTTCTTGCAGAAATCCCGCAGTACGCTTATGTCAGCGGCCGGTCTTTGTCACAGGCCCTGGAGAGAGTCATTGGCCATTGTGCAAGTGTCCGCAAACTCGTTCAGGCCAGCGCCAACAACATACATGGCAAACGTCAGGGACGAGCCGGGCTCGGCCTCTACGGAGGCTGCCACCTCTCACTCGACATCTCCTGTGCTTACGACCATGTTCCTTGGCAGTCCCTGGACAAAGCTCTCCAGGCCGCGGCGGTACCAGCACCTCTCACACAGGCCATCATGCTCATACATCACACAGCCGGCCTGCGCATTAAACACTGCGGTCTCGAACAAACTGTCAGTCTCCGGCGCGGACTCCACCAAGGCTGTGGTTTATCACCACTGCTGTGGGCAGTGTACTGCGGATGGCTGTTGCAAGGCATGTCCGAGCCTGAGGTTCTCGACGTTCTTCAGACCAATACTAGTTATGCCGACGACATGCACTATGCTTGGACAATCTTGAATGGCAGGGACCTCGAAAAGGCTTACGCGGCCATGAAGCACATCCTGACCTACCTGTGCAGGCGCGGACTCACCATCAGCCAGGAGAAGACAGTAGTAGTCCTTGAGCTCCAAGGCCCGCAGGCTCACAAAGCTCTGGACCGCTACACGGTCCTCCTTCAAGGCAACCGCCACTTTCGCTTCGTCATCGACTCCAGGATCTTTCATCTTAAAGTCGTCTCCAAACACGTTTGTTTACCTGGGAGCCATCATCAGCTTCCGGAAGTTTGAACAGGAGACCTTCCAACGCAGGCTTTCTTTGGCCCGTGGCACCTACTCAAGGCTTGGCAAGATTCTGCGAAACCGTGTGGTGCCAGTTCACCTGCGTCTTCGTCTTTGGTTAGGCTGCATCTGGCCGGCAGTCATGCACGGCCTCGACAGCACAGGTCTACCGCTCAAAGAGCTCCAAGCGTTGCAGACACAGCTTATCAAACAGGCCAGGGCGATCGCCAACTCCCACAGCATGCTCACTAAGGAGACCAATGTCGACTTTGGCGCTGTCTTCGGCTACCAGACCCAATTTTGCGGCTACGCCAGGCCCTTGACCACAGGATAGCAGCTGATCGGAACCTTCATGAAGTTCTCCGCCCCGGTGAGGCCCAGCTACAATGGCGAGCGATTGTGAGAGGGCATCTTTTCGATTGCTCCACTGGTTGGGACACAGTGCCTTCGAGAGCTGTCACCCAGCATAGAGTACACCTACAGCCAGTCGACCAGGTTCTTCATGAGAAGTTCAGTTGTGACATATGTGGCCAAGAGTTCTCCACTCAAGCTTCCCTTCGAAGGCACATGTACTGCAGCCACCTAGATGAAGAGCATCAAGCGCAGCGCACACAGGAGGTGAAGGCTGCCATTCAGGGTGCCGAAATGTCACATGCTAAGGACGGGACGCCCCAATGTAGACATTGTCTTCATGAGTTCAGCACCTGGCATGCCTTCAACTACCATGTCAACTCCCGGAGCTGCGAGTTCTTACGTGCACTGTGCCAGAACGAGACCTCGGTCAAGACAGTGCTTCCCCTGCTCACCGATGCCCTGATTCATTCTCAGGAGGTGCTTGAACGTGCACAGAACTGCAGCTGGCCGGACCTTTCTCTACTGCCGTGTGTAAGGTCGAAACACAATCATTGTGGGGCGTGTAACCGCAGTATGTTCGAAGGCACATGACACAGAAGCATCCCGAGTGTGACGCGCTTATCCAACGTTGTATCCAGGACATCAAGGATAGCAAGCTTGGCCTGGCCAATCCTTGCCAACACTGTGGCCAAAGTTATAAGCGCAAAGATGCTCACCTACGAGCCTGCATAGGGGTCTTCAGCGGGGTTTATCTACATCGCCGACATGCTAGAGGCAAGGCCCAGTAAGCCATGTTCGAAAGACCGGAGATGGCCCCACCGACGGAGCTAATGATGGCCACTCAGGAGCTCAACCTCTTGAGGAACCTGACAAGCAGCCCGTTCCTTCCCAGGAACCCGACTCCGGACCAGGAGAGGGATCAGGATCTCGAGCTGCTGACGGACCGCGACTTGGAGGCCCGCTACAGTCACCCGGCCAAGTGGCCCAAGCCAGGCCCAAAAGGACTGCAGCCACAAGGCAAAGGGCGACAGCAAAGAGGCAATCGGCCGGCACCCCATCGCTCCGAGACTTCCTGGCAGCCAAGCAAACCCACCAATCGGAGGTGGCCCCCAACCAAGGTCGTCGCCCTCGCATGGCTCAGGACAAGGAGCACAACGAAGTGCAGGAGATGAAGAGCATCGGACTGCTCTCATCTCTGGTTCTTCGACAAGAAGCCCAACAGACTATCATGAGGCAGGACACAGGTTTCATGATTTTTGTCCAGACCCGCACCCAGCAGAACTTGGGACAAAGCCTCTATCACATCGGACAAGCCTGGCACAAGACGAAACAGGAGAACCCTGCAGCCCTTTCTTCGCCCACGCGGGTCGTGCTGTACCAGCATCTCCTCGGACCCCTTCAAGGCGATGATGGCCTCCCCATCCTCGAGATCTACGGCAGTGGGCATGGGGTGGATCTCCCAACGCGGTCAGCAGGTCCATGGCATACGCTGGGACCCGACGAGCCAGCAACACGTCAGGCACGAGAATGCGCGTCGTACTCGCCGCAGGTGATCGAGGAAGCCCTGGACAGCTCTTGATTGCGGCCCCCGCCCAGTTCGTTGTCCAAAGATTCCATGCCACGAGGCCATTGGCGGAGGAGTATCAGGCCACGGTGCTGGGCATGTTCCCTCTGGGAAGATTCCACATGGCTTTCAGGTTTGCAGTCTTGGGTAGCTCCTGCGCAGCAGCATGATGCTGCGGAGTTCGTAGCGGACGGAAGCCATTGCGGAAAGCAGCGACCACGCGAGCTTGCAAACGGACCATAGGGATGATATCATCGCGAGAGTAGAGAGCAACGGAGCGGTCGGCCCCCGAGAGACGATG